GCAGACATCGTCCCACCTATTTTGGTCATGTTGTCAGAAAGGACCATTCCCTGGAGAAGGATGTCATGCTTGGTAGGGTGGAGGGTCAACAAAAGAGGGGGAGGCCTTCAATGAAATGGATTGACACAGTGGCTGCGATGATGGGCTCAGGTGTAGCAGGGATCATGGAGCTGGCACGGCATCAGGCAGTGTTTCGTTCTGCTGTGCATGGGGTCGCTATGAGTCGGAAACAACTTGATGGCACCTAACAACAACAACAACATTTGCTATGCTGTCATGTGTTGTAGAAGAAAGAAAACCCAGAGGATATATACATTTGGATTTTCTTATATATCCATTAAAAAAAATCTTCTAGAATAACCAAGAAACTAATAGCAGAGGGTAGGTACCTGTTTGGAGGATGGGATCAGGAATGTGAGGGCTAATTTTTTTGATCTTTTTAAAAAAATTTGGGCCATGTGAATGTATTAGCTATTCAACAATTAAATACTTACTTAAAACAACCCCCAAATAATATTTATATCAACACATCAACATAACATAATTATAACCATTTTAAAAAGTATTCATCAGGTTGCCTTAAGGAAAGAATATATAGGCGGTGTCTAGTCCAACACAGGGACATATTTGGCACACAATAATGGCCACTATTTTTATCCCTTTCCTCCAAAATCCCTGCCCACATCCCCCTCATAGATTCCAGTTACTGAAATTGGAAGTCCCCAGGATGCCTCTTTCACCTGGGCTTTGTAGGGGCTTTCCCTTCTGTCTTTCCCTTTCTCTTCTCTCATGTTCCACGTAGCTGCAGCCTCAGTCACCTCCTTCAGGAAGACGCCTCTGACTCACACAAACCCTCCTCACCCTCTCTTCATCCATAGCCTGTGGCCCTTGAGCCTCTGGGCTCCCATTGCTGGAGTGTAGGCTTGGCCTAGAAATGAACCCCTCCTCCCACCCATTAATGAAGGGTGAGCAGGCCCTGTTCTCTATCTACACAGATGTCCAGAAAAGTTTTCCCCTAAATACCACGTTCATTTTCCTGCACCTACAAAATCATGAGTTTCGGTTCCCCTACATTGTGATCTCACCATTGCAGTATCTTCTAGCCCAACCTGGAGGGATGTGGTATCTTTCTGGCAAAGGCACAGCTTTCATGGTGAGGATCCACAGGGCTTCCCCATTAGCGCTGTGTGCAATGTGTGTAGTAGTGATGGATGGGATACACGATGAATCACTCACTTGCATAGTTGATGGTCCCTTAGGAAAGGCAGGCACAGACACTAGGAACATGTAGGGACCAAGCTCCGCCATGCCCCACTGGGTCTCAACAGGCATGGGAATGTGATTGGTAGGGACTGAAGGGAAGACTTAGTATCAGCCAAAAGGGGCTGGTAGGGGTTGGAGGGCACAGATCACCCCAGCCAGAAAGCCTCGGGTCCAGGGAAGGTGTGCAGGTGGGCATTGAGAGGGCAACAGCAGGTGCCACAGGCTTGGAGGGGTGCCCTAGAGCTGAAACCTGAGTCCCTGTGGCTGTGAGGTCTGTGCTGGCCCTTAGGTGCTGTGGACTCACAGGAGGAGGGAAGAGGCAGTGCCGGATCTTGGCAGCAACAGAAGTAAGTTGAACCAGCCCGACCCGAGAAAGGGGGAGCACGCCCAGGAAGGGTCAGGCCTGGTGCCAGAGGACAAGATGAACTTACTCCTCAAAGGGGATGTTTTAGCTCTGATTTGTACTGTTTTTTTCCACAACACTCTCCAGGAAGTAAATGTAGCTCCTTAGAACTAGAGAAGTCAGAGGGCCGTCTCTGGGGCCCCAGGGGGTGGGGCTTGAGCACTGGGGCAGAAAGCTGGCTGGGCTCCTGGGCCAGGCCTTGCCACCCACTTCTGTGAGCTCCTTCAGCCTGTGGAGCAACAGTGACAGGGTGGAACAGGAGACGATGACTGGAGCCCAACCCTTCCCCTTAATGTGATGATGCCCTACCCCAACCCTCATTAGGTTCATGTGTTTGGGGGCCCAGTTCTGCCCTGCCCATATCCTCTCCTGGTAAAGCTGTACCTCCACTATAGAGACAACAGAGTGATGTGTCCCACCATCCTGCCTGGGAGGTCAATGCTTTGAGACACTTACCAGGGAGGGACACAGGAAGGGTGATCGGTGGCCCCCTGGCCCTGGCCCAGCAGTAGGGGCATTGCCTTGTGGACTCTGCTAGCCCACCCCACCCCACCCAGTACCCGCTCCTTCTCTCTTATTGATTGTAAACATATTTATTTCTTTTGAGGTTTTCAATCCTCTGGCAAGAGGCACAGGAGCAGCAGGGCTCCTCTTCATGCTGCCCTGCGTCCCAGCCCATCACACATGCAAGACGGTGCCAGAAGACAAGTCAAGTTGTCTTCAGGAGCAGGCCCAGGAGAGAAGCAGGCCCTGTTCTTTCTCATCCCCACCCCCAACTACCTAGGTCTGGACTGCACCCAGGAAGGCAGGCCCAGCCCAGATCCCCGGATGCCGCCTGCTGTAGTGAGCTCTTCTTGGTGGCTGCCTGCCTTCTCCCTCCCCCCACCCTCTCTGTGTCCCTCCTTCGGAGCTCCCCCAGGATTCTGAGCCCAAGCCGCACACTCAGACCCGACACCAGGCTAAGGCCGCTGCTGCCAGGCCTATCGATGGTGCTGCGTCTCCAGCTAGGTAGCCAGTAAAGCAGGGCAGGCCCAGTATTTCTCTAGTCATGTGCACTGTATGTTCAGAGGATGAGCAAAGGCTTGTCTAGAGAACCACTGTCACAGAAGAAAAGGGCAAGGCAGCCTGCCCCAGCCTCTCCCAGCCTCCGATGTCTCCCAGCCTCCATCCTTTGGCTGTTGGCTGGGCCTGTAATGCCTGAGAGTCTCAATTCTCTGAGGTACATCGACAGTGCTGTTTCCTCTTCAAGAAGCCCTCCTGGCTTGGTGCCAAGCTCGGGGCTGGGCTATGGGTGGCCAGCCAAGGCTGCTACTTCAAGGCCCTGAGGACGGCCTCCAGCTTCATTGCCACAGCCAGGTCACCCTTCACTTTCAGCCGCCCACTCATGTAGGCCCCCAGGGGCCGCAGCTCCCTGCGCAGCAGGGCCCGCAGGTCCTCCTCAGCCATCTCCACCACCACGTCAGGGATGCCATCTGGTACCCCATGTCCCACCCTCCCTCGTCCTGTGGGGAAAAGAAAACAGCATTAGCAGGGTTATAGGTATTGGGATGAGGGACAGGGACGGCAGGTGGGCACTGCTTAACTCCCCTGCTGACCTATTCTGTAAAATCAATCTTATCCCAAATATAAAAAGCCCTCTCTTCCTCTGTTTCAGAATTGCTGAACCATAGGGTTATTGTGTCCTATTAAAAGAAGTAAATAGTAGTGATAAAGAGTTCAGGTTCTAATATCCTGCATTCGAGTTCTATTGGTTATATAGCTCCTTAGAGCCTCAGTTTCCTGATTGGTGACATGGGGATGATGGTAATGCCTAAATCACGGCAGATAATGTACAAAAAGTGCTGTGCACAGTGCCTGGCACACAGTAGGGCCAACACGTGCAGGCTCTTAGTATAAGGAAGCCTGGCCATCTGAGCTGTCCTGCTGATGGTAAGGGCTAAGCCTGGATAATCTTTGTCTGAAAATGGTCCCTGAGCCCCAGACTGTTGTGAGTTCACCCCAAACTGTTCGCAGGAGTAGGAGACAGCCTAAGAAAGGGCCACTGGGGATGGGGACACCTACAAGCAACTTGAGTGGAAAGGAGAAGGCAGGGATGCTGTCGCACCTGAGCTGAGGTCCAGGAAGTAAATGCTCCGGGTGCCACTGGGCAGAACAACATTGAACTGGTAGCAGGCTCCAACCTGGCTGACCAGGGCCTCAGACAGGAAGGGCTGCAGAGCAGTCAGCAGCCCCTCGACCACAGGCTGCTTCAGGCTGGGCCCAGCACTGACAATGGGGGCAGGTGACTCAACTTCACTCACCATCTCCAAGGTGTCTGCTGGGGGAGGGAGACAGAGAGATGAGGGCGCAAAGGTCAATGTGTTGCCAGGTCAGGATGACTATGGCCTCAGCACCTGTCTGTTACAGTGCTCCTTATATCCCTTTCAGGCCTTTGTTCAACTTCCTCCTCTGCTAAGAATCTCCCACCGCCATCCTCAAGGGTTCAACTCTGATCCCCCACCATCAAGCTACTCCAGCTTGGAGCATAAAACTCTCCATCTACCCTCTGGGCTGTTGCCTCTTCCCGTAAGGGCTCCCAAAGGCCTCTACACACTCCCAGCCACCTGGATTCTTCTCACTACCTTAGCTCTGGTCAACTCTAGCATCAGGGCTGCTTGAACAGCTATGCAGGGTGTGCACTGCACAAGGGTGCCTGGTTAAGGGAACAATTGGCCAAGTGTCGCCTATGCTGTGCTCTGCTTGCCAAGCTGACTGCTCTGCTGCAGGGCCCTATACATCCAGAGTAGATGCCTTTTTCTGTCTCTAAGAAAGGTGTTATATGGGCTAGAGAAGCCCTGCCTAGCACCAACCTCCCACAAAACACCCCTCTCCCTACAAAAAGTCTCCATTTCCTCTCTCAGCCCAGGGACATGCAAAGCAGCCTCCTCTCCTCTACCCACCTCCCAGAGCGCCTCACCTGGCCCTGGGGGAAGAGCACCTCCTGCCATTGAGGACATGCCTCCTCCCAGGAAGTGGAGGGCCAGCTGCTGGAGGGTGTCCAGGCTGGACCCAGCTGGGCTGTCCTGGGGTGGCTGGAGCACAGCTTCCACTGCCAGCTCCACACGGTCCACCTCTAGCCCCCAGGCCCTGGTAACATCGTTGATCTCCAGCTGGAGGGGAGTGTGGGGAGAAATGGATGCATTCACACCTTTCCCAAGCACCTCCTTCAGGCAAGCTGATATGACCAGGCAAGGACATGGAGGCAGGTGAGGCACCATGCCTGCCTTTGGAGAGTTCCCAGTCTGGGAACACAGGCAGAGGGCAACTACAATCCAGCTATGATAAGAACCTAGACAGGAGGGAGGTGTGGGCACCCAGGAGAGGGGCCTGGCTGGCCTGAAGGGTCAGGGAGGCCTGGGGCAGAGAGGGAGAAGTGATGTCAGGAAGAGGAGGAATTATTCAGCCAAGGGGCTTATGGGGAAGGAGGAACCTTCCAGGCAATGGGAATAACATGTGCAAATGCCAAGGCAGGAGAACCTGGCATGTACCAGGAATTGCAAGTAACCATAGTTCCACTTAGCTGGGCCCTCCAGTGTGGGCTGAGGGCTACAGAGAGTGAAGAGTGAGAGGCAGGGCTGAGCCTGCTAACTTGGGTTTATTCTCAGGAAACAAGGAGTCTCTGAGAGGAGCTTAAGCAGGGAGGCAACAAGGCAGACCCACTTTTTGGAAAGATCGTCCTGGTTGCTGTGTGGACGCTGGATTGGAAGGGGCGAGGTTGGAGGCAGGGAGACCAGGTAAGATACTATATCAAATGGCAGGTAAGAAATAATGAGGACCTGTATGAGGAAGAAAGAACTCTGGTGGCATAGTGCCTAAGGCATTTGACTGCTAACCACAGGGTTGGCAGTTCAAACCCACTAGCCGCTCCATGGAAGGATGATGAGGCAATCTACTTCCACAAAGATTTACTGCCTTGGAAACCCAACAGGAGTTGCTATGAGTTGGAATCGACTTGATGGCAGTGGGTAGGTATAAGGCAGAGTGGTGACTATGAAGCCAAGATACAAAACTCTGTGAACTACTTTAAGTTATAGCAAGATAGAGAGAAGTGGAACTACTCGGCTTGTTGGCTGCCTGGATGTGGGAGTGGGGGAAAGTAGGGGAAATTACAGAACATCCAGTTTCGGGTTGGCTTCCTGCATGACTGACGAGTAGGGGCACTCCCCCTGGAGAGGATGCCCAGAGGGAGAGACAGAGTCAGGGGAGCGTAGGCAAAGAATCTCATGAATCAAAATTGACTTGATGGCAATGGGTTTGGTGTTTTGGTTTTAGGGGAGCAGTGATGAATTTTTTTTTTTTTTTTAATGAAGCTTGAGGTGTCTGTGGCACAGTCAGCTGTCCAACAGGAAGTTGGATAAATGGTCTAGGGTGTGGGAAAGAGCCAGGGTTGGAGCAGTGTGTGGTGAATAATGAGCATGCAGTGATACCAAAGAGCCTAGGGATGGATGAGTCCTTCCAGGGAAGCCACAGACAAGAGGGCAAGGATGGAAACCTGGGAGTTGATGGGCAGCAGAACATAGAAGGAGTAACTAGGAGTGACCAGGGTGGAGGGAAGAAAAGGAAGCATGTAGAATAATGGATGCCAAGGGAAGCAAGGGACCTTAGAGAGAAGGGTTGGTCCACAGTCAAACACTACCTTGAGGTGACGTAACGAAAGGACTGAGAGGTACCCCTGGGTTGGCTAGAGGGAAGGTGCCATGATGTTGGCTAGAGGTTTCTCAAGGGCCAAGGAAAGTTGGGAATGGAGGGATGGAGGCTTTCCAAAGGACAGAGAGAGGGAGTGAGAACTGGAGGGGACTGGGCAAAGGGAGAACATGTTTCTATGCAGAAATAAGACGGAAAGAGAGAGCAGCCAAGCAAGGGAAAGAACTGAGTCCTGTCCCGAGCATGTGGGGCCCAGGGCACTGCCTGATACAGGATGAGCCTCAGACAGAGGAAGTGGGGTGCTTCTAATGGACACACAAAACAGCACAAAAGCAGATGCATTTGAAGAGGTGCTGGGAGGAAGCTGAAAGAGTTCCTGTCCTAGAGTTTTCTCTCCAGAGGATCAAGATGCAAGGCCTGCCACAGAGTGAAGGAGGCAGGGAAAGGCATGAAAGAAGGCAGTGAAAATAAGAAGCAGCTGGCCTGGAGCAAGTAGGTAAGCAGTTAAGGAGGGTTCCGGTGGTGAGAGGTGGGGAGTCTGCATCCTTTCAGATGAAAAGCAGGGCTTTGGGAGGTGTGCTGGACTTCCTGAGAGTCAGTTTTTATTCCACTCTACCAGGCACTAACTCAGTGCAATGGGCCCTCACTGATGTGAGTTGCATCCTATTGTGGAACTCCCTTCCCCCCAACCGTCTCTCCTGTACCAACCAACCAAAAACCAAACTCACTGCCATCGAGTCGAACTCAACTCATAGCCACCCCTCCTTGGGTTTCTGAGGCAGTATCTCTATGGAAGTAGATTGTTCAACCTTCCTTCTGAGGAATGGCTGGTGGTTCTGAACCACTAACCTTCTGGTTAGTGGTTAAATGCCTTAGGCACTATGCTACCAGAGCTCCTGTACCAAAGCAACATGCAATAAGGTCAGGATCTATTTTCTCTTCCAAAAGGTGAATTAAAATGGAGTGTGGTTTTATGAATAAACATTGTTATCAGCTTGTTATCTGTGTTGCATTGAGCACTGGATTGGGCTGGGATGGGGGTGGGAGTCAGAACAGACTGTGGTCTGTCTCTGGCCTAGTTCTGCCCTTAATCATGGCTCTTAGAGGCAAATCAAGTCATTTCTCTAAGTCTTAGTTTCCTCCCTCCAAAGCAAAGCAGTAACAACTGCCCCCTTGCAGCAAAGATGCGAAATCGAGATACACAGGTGCAGGCAGATGGACTTTTTAAACTATGAAACACATGGAAGAGCGATTGTTACAATCACAGATACTACTTTCTGGGGAATTTTACCTGGCTAGTTATTTGCCAATTAACTTCCTAAAGGGATGAGCATTTACTCCACTCCTCGTCTCATCCTCTAAACCTAACTCCCGTGGGGAGAGCAGAGCCAAGGGGAATATGGGGAAGCTCCTTTCACATTACCCAACCAGACCTGGGAGGATGCACAAAGGAACATGCTGCTGTGTGTGCAGTTACTTCTCCCCCATCTTGTTGCAGAAAGGATTTAAGGTGGCTTATTTTAGTGTAGATAAATTCTCTAATACATGAGAAGAGGCAGGAAAAGGGCGCAAATATATCCAAGCCCCTTTGTTCTGTTCAGAACAAGGAAAACGAAACCGAAAAGAATGTACCCAAGAGGCTGCACTGTGGAGCAGGGAACTTCTGAGGTGATGGGCCCTGCTCTTGTACCCACTTGCCTGCCCTGTGAGTCAGGCCTGGGCAACGGGGAAGGCATGGAGCCTCTGAGGCCCGGTGTTGTCATAGCAATTTCTGGGCTCGGTAGAGCAATGATGGGTAAAACATCAGCAGTCAGAGGCAGGCCCTGGGAATTTCCATCTAGAATACTTCTCCCTCTCAGAGCCCAATGACTTCTCAGGGGCATATTTGCCCAAGATCACCACACCTGGTACCCACTTTCCATTTCTTGACATATAGACCCACCCATTGTTTCACTGGCTCTTCAAAGGATGTCACACTCATTGGACATAGGGTTTGAGGCCCAGAGCAATCTGGTGCTCTGTGTAAAGTGGCCCAGGGAGGAGGGGACACTGGGCTACCTACCAGGAGCTGGTCACTGATCTTGAGTTTCTCCAGCTGGATCTCCCGCAGTGGCCTCTTGAGCAAGGCCTTGGTCATGGCATTCTGGGCTGTCATGCGTGTAGCTGTGTTCAAGTCCTTCACAGTCATCACTGAAAGCACTGGGTCCCAGATGCGGAACTGGACATCGGCCCCCACGGACAACACAGCCCCATCCTTAGAGGCCAGCTGTTGGAGGAGGCCGTGAAAGGAGACAATAAAGGGCCAGGCCAAAAGGCTGGGGCTGCAAGGAGGTCAGGCCTCTGGTACCACAGTCAGACCCACCCGCCTTGCAGCTAGCTCCTCAAAGGCAAAATGACATCCCTGATTTCATGGGGTTAGGTAAGTGGAGCAAGGATGCCTTCTCAGTCTCCATCTTCCATTTTCTGTGAACAGAAAATTTCTCTTCTTCTTCCCCCTCCCAGATAAGCCCAGGGCCTGGTGTTCACAGTACATTGTGCAAGCCCCCATGCCCTCTGCCCAGGGGAGCTGAGAAGCCCCTTACCTTGCAGGGAGGGACACTGAAGGCTCGTGTCCTCAGATCAACCCTCTGAAAGGAGTCAATGAAGGGCAGCAGCAGGACCATGCCAGGCCCCTGGGGGTTGCGGATCCGGCCCAGCCGGAACACGATCATCCGCTCATAGGTGGGCACGATCTGTCCAAGATGGCAAGGGAAAGGGCTGAAAGTGGTGAGCCTACGCTGGCCAATGACCTCTGCCCAGGTTCTTCCCTTACTCTCCCCCCATCACCTTGGTCAGTCAGGCATCCTTACCTGTTTTTAGATGAGAAAACCAAAGCTCAGAGAGGTTAAGTGACTTGCTCAAAAATCACACAGCCACTAAGGAAAATAGCAAGATTTGAATTCAGTTCTGAATGACTCCAAAGCCCATGCTCTCAACCACCACATTGTACTGACTTGATCCTCAGAGAAACTTTTCACCACTGTGGTCTGAACTAGACATGACTCATATTACAAAACTGCCTGCCCTTGGCTTAGTTAGGGGAAGAGGCTGGGCTGCTCTAACAACACCCTTGATCAAAGGCCTTTGTTAGCTTCTGGTCCCTGGAACCTTCAAAAAAGTAGATATGTCCACAGGCCTATAAAGTGAACGTTTACACCAGGTATGTATGCGCCTCAGAGCAATTAACCATGCGAAATCAGAAGGGCAGCATTAGCACATGGAGAGAGCTCAGAGGGCAGGAATGCATAGGAAAGAAGGACACAGGGCAAAGGTAACAACAGGGAGGAACTGAGAAGAAAGCTGCTAAATTATGGGAATTGCAATTAATGTCACGAAACAAAATGTGTTTGAACTGTTAAATGGAAAATTAATTTGCTCTGTAAACTTGCACCCAAATCACAATTAAAAAAAATAAAGCAGGTATGTGCAAATTGATAAATGGAGGTCTAGAGACACAAAGTGACTTTCTCAAGGACACACAGCATCAGTGGCAGTTTTAGGAATAGGATCTAGAGCCATCTAAAGATTCCCTTCCAGACCACACCAAACCAGCTTTCTTGAAAAGCTGACTGTTGCCCAGGTCCAAGCGGCAAAGCCTGCCCTGGCTTCCAGCTTCACTGCAGCTTTCAGGTTGATTTTCAACTTGTTTTAGTTGCCGTGAAGTCTGACTCATGGAGCCTGATGTCTAACAGAACAAAACGCTGGCTGGTCCTATACCATCTTCAAGATCAGTGGTATGTTTGAGTCCACTGTTAACACTTCTATTGTTTATCCTTTTCCTGTCTATACCACCACTTGTTGAAAATGAGGCCTGAATTCCTATTACTCATTACTTGCTGGGCCAAGTTGGTTTCATTTCTAATTTAGCCTGATTCAAAGGTGAGAATATTTGGCAAAGACATCTGTGTGCACCTTCAAGCCAAAGTCCAGCTTCCAGGACTTGGGAGTTTGGAGAGACTCATTCTACCACTCACTGGATGGCTTTGGACAAGTCTGAGCCTGTTTCCTCATCTAGAAGATGTGCATGAGCAATCCTTGCTCAGCCCGTTTCACAGAAGTGAGATAATACATTGTTTAGGGGAAGAGTACAGACGAAAGAGGATTCACTCATCAATGGCAAAACTGTCAGAACGGCCCAAGCACACTGACCCAGCCAGCCTTACCTTCAGGGCAAACCATCCAGAAATGGGGAAGGTAAGCAGCAACAGTAAGAACCCCAGGAAACTGATGAAACCATGGCACAGGCAGGAGGGCCAGCTCTGGGGCACATCTGAGGGGAGAACAGAGCCAGTCAAGGAACGCCAACTCAGTCTGGCAGGACAGCAGGAAGTTGATCAAGTGTATCCTTTGTCCACCTCCCCCTTCAAAGACTCCTTTTCATGGTTCTCTATTAGCATCATGGCCTAGTACCCTCATATCTTTGGGCAGGTGTTAGTTAGGGACTGCCACCTCCTACACATCAAAACGAGCCTGTCATGAGTCCCACTCCCACAAGGCCCTATGCTCTGTTAGGCACCAGCCACTGAATCTGAGTATCCAATCCACATGATGCTCTCCTTGTTGGACAAGGGGTCAGTCCCCTTGTTTGATTTATGGTGCACAGTCATACCTAGCACAGAGCTAGGTTGGACTGAATGTAGGTGGCATAACACACTACTCCTTTGCCATCAGCCCCAGGAGTCCTTTTAAAGATACTATCTTTGCTTAAAGGGATAAAGCATTAACAAAGAGATGCAGGGTGTTAAGGGGTTCTTTTCCAGCTCACTACTCCACACCCATTTAATGCCCTCGTTGTTAGCGGTCAGGCAACCCTGTGCACAACAGAACTAAACACAGCCCAGTCCTAAAGTCTGTTCAAACCTGTTTCACATCACAGTAACATGCAAATCTCCACTGACAGATGGGTGAAGGCTGCATATGAGGTACATTGGACAGAAATTGAACCCAGGTGTCTAGCTTGGAAGGCAAGCATTCTAGCACCAATGCCCTAAGGACTATCAAATGTCTGCTTCACTTCAAGTAACTCAAGCGGGAGCTGGCGAACCAGGAAGATGAGGTTCATCTGAGCCAGAGGTCCTGGACCTTAGAGGAGAACCAAGAGCCCAGGATGAAGTGGAGCTGAGACAGACCCAGACTCTGGGATGAGATTATTTTCTGCTTTCCTCTCCCTCCCAATCCTGACAGGAAACCGAAAGGTGCTTCTGCTTCATCCTTCCAGGAACCCCATGCTCTCTAGGCTCTCCATGCCCCAGGATGCTGTCTCCATTTCCTGCCTGGCTCTCATTCTAGTAGCCCCCACAGAAAAGGAACCCTTGGATAAGGGCAGCTGTCAGTACAGAAGGGCCAGGGTTTGGCTGTTATGCTGAGGAATGTGGGATTTGGCTTGTACTATAAGAGAACCATGGAAGGCTTTGAACGAGGGTCAGAACAGACACAACAGACTGCTGAAGGTCTGCCTTTTTTGGCCTGTGCATTTTCACTAGGAAATAGAAATGTGTCCTCTGGGTGAAGATTTTGCCATTTCTCTGCAGTCAAGTGCCCTTAGGGTGCTGGTGACCTCTACCTAGACTTCGGTTTCTTTCTATACTAACTGGCATCTCGAAACCTCTGCTCAGGCCTAGGGGCTGATAAGGGCTGAGGTAATGGTTATGGCCTTGGAAGATGAGAGAACTGCGCGGGCTCCAAGGCTGTAAGCCCATGGTCCCAGAAGGGGCGGATCAGCACTAGCACCCCAGCTCACGGTCCAGCCCCTCTCGGTCCCTGCTCTTAGGGTGCGAGCACGACAGACCAGCCGGCTCCTGACTGGGCAGGGAATGTTGGCCTGGGGGCGCCGGTCGGTCCCCCCGGACACGCTATGATGGGCAGCCACTCACCGGCCCCCGTCCCCACGCCTCCAGGTTCCGGGGACAAGCAGCCCTTCTGCGAGCTCAGGAAGCCAAAGCTCGACTGCTGGAAGCGGTCAAAGTCCCCCAAGGGCAGCGCCCTGTACCCAGACCTGCCGAGCATGGCGCTTGACAGGAGGAACTGACCAAGACCCGCACAGCACCAAACCTGACCAGCTGGCTGCGCCGCCCCGCCCCCACCGCGGGCTTGGACTCCGGCCGCCACTTCCGGCTTCACCTGCGCTGCCACTAGCGGCGGCCACGGCGCAGGAGCAGGCAGGCCAGATTCCGCTCCTGCCGTCCCACAGCACCCCCTGCCCTCGGAGGACCGAATTGCGATCACGGGGCGGGGGAATTCTGTGCTTCCTGGGGGCTGGTTGGATGGTCTTGTGTTCTTCCCTGCTCCTATTTGACCTTAGAAAAGGAGCAGGAGAGGAAGTTGGGCTTTATAATGTGTTTTTCAAGATTCCAATCGTCTGCAGAATCACAGAAATGCTCTTAATTAGCTTTCTTATAAGGGCAGCTGTCAGTACAGAAGGGCCAGGGTTTGGCTGTTATGCTGAGGAATGTGGGATTTGGCTTGTAATATAAGAGAACCATGGAAGGCTTTGAACGAGGGTCAGAACTGCACACTGGAGTAGGGAAAAGGGGAAAAACAAAACCAAACCTGTTGCTGACTTGTAGACTCCCGCTCCTGGTGAGCCTATGTATTAGACAGGGTTTTCTTGGCTATAATCTTTATAGAAGCAGATCACCAGTGCTGTCTTCTAAGATTCTGCTGGGTGGGTTTGAACAGCCAACTTTTAGGTTAGTAGTCAGTACAAACCATTTTGCACTAGGTGGTGCCCTTATCTAAACTTAGGTTTTCTCCAGGCAAGATTAAAAAACCAACCAAACTCACTGCCATGGAGTAGATTTGACTTATAATGACCCCACCCTTGGGTTTCCAAGCGGTATCTCTACAGAAGTAGATCGCCCAATCTTCCTTGGGAGAAGTGGCTGGTGGGTTTGAACTGCTAGCCTTCTGGTTAGCAGTCAAATGCTTTAGGCACTATGCCACTAGGCAAGATCAGCCTGGCCCTGAACAGATGCTGAATACTTACTTGTTGAATGAAGGTAGAAGTTACTGTGATCCAAGTGGGGGAGAGAGGGCCTGAACTTTTGACAAAAAAAGTGAGAAATGTCCTATGCAGACTTAGGGAGCACAGCAGAGTAAGGAAGGAGGGGATAGCAAAGAGCTATTCAGTAGACAGGCTGTCTAGGGCATCACAGAAGTAAGACTTTCATTCCTGTAGATCCACAAACACCGTACCCCTTGATCCAGGTAACCAGAGGTAACTTGCCTCTCCACTGCTTTCGAAAATCCAAATGCAAACGGTGAGCTTACCCTGAGAAGCCTTAACTCCCAACAGCAGCAACCTGGGAGCAGGTTGTCTTCCAAAGGGAGCAAAGAAATGAGAAAAATTTTTCTTGTCTCAGCCACATGCCTGTCTTCCTTCCCCAGGCACCTCAGCCCCTTAGCCCCTTCCAGAAAACTGTCTGTAGATGGCTGCCCATCATCACTAGCATTTCCTAGTGTGATGCTCAGAGGGTGACCTGGTTGTAGGTACCCTGAGGGTACTGACCAAACTGGAGGGTAGGGAAAATTCCTGAAGATTTTCACAATTTCTAGGCAAGTTAAGTATCTCTCCACTATCCCCCTTTCTATTCCCTACACACTCCCCAGTCTATAAGCTTTGTAAGAGTAATACCCTGTCAGCATCCTTTCTAGTCTTTTCTGAGTTGGTACTGAGCACAAAAATGGGTTCACAGGGGTCAGCATAGTGGTTGGGATGGTTTGAAATTTGAAGTCAGGGGCACTGGCCCAGTAAGGGCCCCTGGAGTTGTGTTCTTCCTCCCCTTACCAGCTGAGGATCTTTCCTGCTTCCCCACTGGCCTAGACCTGTCCTCACCCTCTGCATGCTTGCTCACTGGCTCCCACCACCACTCCACCTGCCTCAGACTCACCAGCCTTTCCAGTCATCAACCACAGCATCATTCTGTCCCCAGTCAGTGCCCTCTCTCCCAGTGTATCTGACTCAGACCATCCTCCGCATTCCACAGCCAGTCCTAGATCAGGCCACCTGCCCCTAGGTTGTCAGAGTGACTGCCCTATCACGCACAGATGTTTGTTCTGTTCCCAGTTCTAATCCCTTCACTGATTCTCTATCACCCACAGAACTGATCTAATCTCCTCAGCTATGATCTTGCCGTAGCCCATTCCTCCAGCCTTGTATCTCACAAGTCCCCTATTTAATGTGAAAATAGACAAAACTAGTTCCCAAACAGGCTCTTCTGTTTCACACCTCAATGCCTTTGGACGTGCTGTTCTCTCTGCTTAAAGTGCCCTCCCAGTGTCAGATTACCCAATAAGCAAGGTAAGCACAAGTTTACTTGTGCTTAATTACTGATCTGTAGTGAACAACTTCACTTTTTTTTTAACCATATCAAAATTTCTGCTAGTAGTTATGTCTGTCATCTGCCTCTCACCTAACCCCATAGCACCTTCCCATAGAATCAAAGCCTCTTTTCAAATTTATAATCCCTGACAGGGATGCAGTACCCAGTAAGTAAGGTAAGCATGGGCTTATTTGTGCTTACTTACTAATCTGTGGTGAACAATTGTGGTGAAATGCATGGGGAATTTTTCACTAAAGGTTAGTAAGTAAGCACAAGTAAGCCCATGCTTACCTTGCTTACTGGGTAATCTGTCCCTGTGTCTTCCCAATCCCTAAATCCCTGGCACATTTTCTGTTCCTTCAAGACCCAGATGAGGGATCTCCTTTCCAGCCAGTCCTAACACTGTGTGCAAGACTGCTCTCAGCCCTACTCATGGGCTAGATCTGGGGTTCTCCAAAAGCAGGAATCCCGTGTGGCTCTTCTCTGTGCCCTGTTAACAGGGAGCATTCCTCCAAAGAGACAAGTTTTCCATTGTTACCTTTTGATCCACTTATAGACAGTACAAACTATTAGATGATCTCCCAAACAGGAAATTTAAAATGATTGGTTATCCTTCACTTAACTGGTAGGAGATAGGCTATCTAAACAGGGCTTTAGCTTGGATTGGTTTATTATGTTTGCATGTCTGCCTTCTATCGGCTAGTTACGTTTTATGTAACTATCTAAATTTTTCCCAGAACTCTTTTTGTCATGAGTTTTTAGTTTCTGGGAAAGGTTTAAAAGTTAAGTTGATTAGGTATAAGCAAACACCTTATGGGATTAGATTTCTTGGTTCAAAGGTTTAGGATCATGGTTTGGTGGTACAGTCCTCAATTGGCCTAACATTGTTTTTAAAGTTTCTGTTCTACCTCCTAGAGTTTTGAGTAGTGCCTGGGGTCTTACAAGCTTGCTAGTGGCCAGCCCCAATACAACAATTGGCCTCTATTTGCCTGGAGCAGTAGAGGAAGAAAAAGACCCAGGTATAAGAGAAGGAACTAGACTGCAGGTCTAATTGCCTCCATGAAATAACTACTTTTAGGTCCTTTGCCATCAGACTAGAAGAACTAGTTGGTGCCTGGCTACCATTACTGATCATTTTGGTCAAGGACTCAATAGACGATCTTGATCAAAAATGGAAAATATGTGAAACAGAAATTCAAATTCTTGTGTAATTCAGATTTACTTGCCTGTTGAGACTGGAGGAACCCCCAGCTCTATTGCTCTCAGAAAAGCTTTAAATCTTGAATGGAAACTATCTCCTGAAGTCATCTTTAAACCAACACTTTAGCTCAATTAGTAAAGAATGCTTGCCTTCAGGATTGGGCTGTTTTCAAGAAACATCTATGAGATCAAACTGATAACAGTAACTCTGAAGCATAGATGAGAAGTTCAGAGGACGGTGAGTCTAAATTAATGCAGGTGAAATAATTGGGGTAGAGATAGGGAGAATGGAGGAGCTCTGGTAGCATAGTACCTAAGGCACTTGACTGCTAACCAGAAGGCTGCAAACCCACCAGCCACTCCTCAGAAGGCCAGTTGGGCAATCTACTTCCGTAGTGATTGATACAGCCTCGGAAACCCAAGGAGGGGTCGCTCTACGGCAAATAACAACAGGGAGAATTGTGACACAATGTGAAGAAAGTAACCAGTGTCACTGAAATGTACATGTAGAAATTGTCGAATGGGTGTATGTTTTGTTGTGCGTACTTCCACCATATATATATATATATATATATATATATATATTTTTTTTTAAGTTAAGTTTAAAGGGAGGACGGGGGTCTGGAGGCGGCATTTTCTTTAGCAGCCCTCAGCTCCCACCTAGAGGCTGGCACAAAGTTGTGCCGGTCTGAGCAGAACGAATGCATCAAAGGCCAGAATGGAGGCAGCTTCTCTCTATCAGTTTTGGTTTCTTCCCTTTACCCCTCGACAAACAGCTCGTCTGCTTCTCCCCTCCCTCTCCCTCCTCCCGACTCTGGGCATTTCTTCAAAATCCATAGACCGCCTCTCCGCCCCTAGAACCTCCCCCAGCCCCTGTCTCACTTCCTCTCGAGAGGCGGGCCCTGAACCCGGCGCCTCTTCTCTGTACTCCACCAATGCCGCTAGCCTTCCGTTCAGTTACTCCTCCCGCCTTCCTAGCTCATAACCGAAAATCGAAACTGCGCTGGGGACCATGCAGCAGGAGCCAGCACCCGTCCGTCCTTCGGGGCCTCATCAGGATTCCACACTGCCCTACATGCCCACTATGTCGCCCCCAGAGAACCCCTCCGAAGACCACCAGTCCAGCCCCAGCCCCACGAAGGTACTCTTGGTTTGGAGATTATGGAGGAGCTGGGGTTTTGTTGGTTTGCTCTCTTGGCGGATGTGGGGGAGGGGAGGGTGTAATGGGGAACCTGGAAAAGTATCTTGAAGAGTATCACAAGCAGGAAATATCAGACCCCGGGGTCCTGACCCTCTTGGCTGGGGCAAAGGAGCAGTAAAGGAGAGTAGAAAGGGGACCAAGATGAGCTGGGGCAGCATCTCTGAGCTGACATTTCTCCATTGAACAGCATCAAGTGCTGAAAGTCAGAGGTTTCTAACACCTTTGTCCCTCACTCCTGCCTCAGCTGAAAGACCACGGAATAGGAGGAGGCGGAGAGTAGCTTTTTGGCACCTGGAGGCAGGGGGCACGTCCCAGATGTGGAAAACCAAAACCCAAAGTTACCAAATCTTAGATGGGAAATTGTGGCCCAGAAAGAAATATCTTGGCCTCATAGCTCAAGTTGTGTCTCTTCCAGGAAGATTTCCAGAGCCTTGACTTGGAACACCCTCGTTGCCCCGCCAACAGAAGGGGTATGTTAGGTCCTCCTCCAGAACAGGCCTTAGCCTGTTCCTGAACAACAACAATCTCCCCTCCCCCCTCTTGCTTGTTCTCTCAGGCTCTTTGGTCTCTTCATGAAAGCATAGATAACACTGTATTGTAGTAACTTTTAATTATAACTAAGACTAATATTCTGAACAATACTTGGTAACATCTTGTAAGAGCTTCTCACATGCTAGGTACTGTGATAAGCACTTTATACTAGGTTTACACTTAGGTACTTAGTTGTGCCTACCTTCCACACTGGGTTCCTTGAAGGTAGGAATATGTCCTATTCAACCTGTATCTCAGTGTGTCTAATGGACAAGAGGTAGGTGATGAATTGTGCTGCCATAGCAGGAAGGCCTGAGTAAGTGGGGACTGGGGTGCTGTTAAGCCAGGGTTTTGCATCATCCAGTGACTGACCGGATGGAATGAAATATGAGGTTCCAGGAGCCCTGGATGGAAGGAGCCTCCAACCCACAGGGGTGGGTGGCCAGTAGGTGAGGATGCCCTGTACTTCTCCAGACTTCATGCCTTTCTTTGGTTCCCCAGCAAACCGTGGAGGAGGAATTCCAGTTCCTGTGCTGCCAGAGTTGCAAGGTTGAAGCCAAGTGCCCTAAGTTGCTGCCTTGTTTGCATACACTGTGCTCGGGATGTCTGCAGGCATCGGGCGCACAGTGTCCCATATGCCAGGCGTCCTGGTCCCCGGGAGCTAATATACAGGCCCTGGATAACATCTTCTTCGAGAGTCTACAGCGGCGTCTGTTGATGTATCAGCAGGTCGTGGGCGTCCATGCAGCTTGCACACGTTGCAAAGAACTCGCTGACTTCTGGTGCTTTGAGTGTGAGCAGCTACTCTGCAAAAAGTGCTTTGACGCTCACCAGTGGTTTGTTAAGCATGAGGCCCGACCTCTGGCAGATTTCTGCAACCAATCGGTGGAAGAGTTCCTAGAGCGCACACGCAAATCCAACAACATCTTCTGCTCCAACTCCAAGCATCATACCCCTGAGCTGACTAGGTGAGCCGGCCCCCAGAGGAGTGGGGGGAGCAGAGACCCAAAGACGTCACACAGGTGTAGTTAAGGAGCTTCTATGGCTTTAATAGATCCCCTGGTGGCACAGTGGTTAAGTGTTCAGTTGCTGAAGGTCGGTGGTTTGAACCTGCCAGCAGTTCCTTTGGAGAAAAGACCTGCTGATACGCTCCCCGAAAGATTACAGCCTAGGAAGCCCTATGGAGGAATTCTACTCTGTCCTGTAGGGTCACTATGAGTCTGAATTGACTCAAGGCACACAATAGCAACAAGGCCTTAACTTGAAGTGTAGCTGTGGATCAGCAGCATCTATAGAAAACAAAAATCAAACCCACTGCCATCGAGTAGATTCCAACTCATAGTGACCCACATTGGGTTTCTGAGGCAGTAAATCTTTACAGAAGTAGATTGCCCCATCTTCCTTCTGTGGAGTGGCTGGTTTGAACTGGCAGCCTTCTGTTAGCAGTCAAATGCCTAAGGCACTACGCCACCAGAGCTCCTTAGCATCTATAGAGATGACTGTAATTTACTCTGCCAAACCCCACTTTGGTGAATACTGTTAGTTTCAATTCCTTTTGATTAGAAATAATGCTGCAGCAGTCATCTATGCACTTATATCTGGTAATTTCTTTAGGATAAAAATTTAAAAAGTGCCATTGCTGTAAAATTGAACTTTTACATTTTGTTACCAAAATGTTAACCAAACTACCCATTCGGAAGTCTTACAGTAGAGTTTTTCAACTGCAGTGTATTCAACTCAGTGTATCTGGATTCTGGGGTGAGATGCAAATAGTTTCTGAAAAGTCAAAACTAACACCTGGCAGAGCTGTATGAGAATGCTGGTATGAAACAAAAAAAAAAAGATCCAGATATAGTATTTTTTTTAAGCAGCAAAAAATTTTAACTCAAGTCTTCTGATAGATAATACATTTTATGGTTCAAAAAATTGCAAAAAAAAATTTAGAAAAATAGAGATGGAGCAAAATCCCCACCCTTGCCCCCAGCTGTCTGATTCCTACCACTCTTTTCAAATGACTGGTAAACCATTGTTTCTAGTTTTGAATGTTCAATATTTCCAGAGTTTTTTGTGCATATCTGAGCAGATGGGAGTATATAGTCTTATAAGGTCTTAATTCCCCCCGCCCCAAAAAAGGAGCTCTGGTGGCACTGTGGTTAAAGCATTTTTGCCTGGTAACCAAGAGGTCAGCAGTTTGAACCCAGCAGCTCAGTGGGAGAAAGATGAGGGAGTCAGCTTCCTTAAAGATTTACATCCCTGGAATCCCTATGGAGGAGTTCTTTGTCTTAAAGGGTTGTTATGAGTTGGAATTGACTCAGTAGCAGCGGGTTTTTTGGTTTAAAACCAAAAAAGTAGCATAGCTACGTCAACTTTTGTGTCATAGGACAAAAGTTTTTGCTTATGTAAGATTCCTGTGGGTTGGGATCCTCTTGCAAAGAGATTGTATTCGCGGGCCACCCCAAAACAAAACAAAACCCCATTGCCATCGATTTGATTCCAACTCATAGCGACCCCCATTGGGTTTCCCAGGTGGTTAATCTCTGCAGATGTAGATTGCCCAGTCTTCCTTCCGCAGAGTGGCTAGTGGCTTTGAACCACCAACCTTCGGTTAGCAGTCAAGTGCCTTAGCCACTGTACCACCAGAACTTCTTTGGGCCATCCTGGACATACTTAAAACTACATACCTGCTAAACAGTGTGGTTGGTTTCCTGCTTGAGGTAAACTGCCTGCATTACCTCTTTGAGGGTCTGAGGGGATCAAGTCCTCCTAGGAAAACATGGGAGATTATTGTTTTAATTTGCGTTTCTTTGCTTATTGTTAAGGTTGAGTAGCTTTTCATATGCTTTTTGCCCATTTGTGTTTCTTCATTTGTGAATTGTCTATTTAGGCCTTTTGCACTTTTTTTTTTTTTAAGGACTTAATCTCTTTTAATTTGTAAGAGCATATTGTAGTGCAGATATTTTCCCTGTGTTGACCTTTGTCATTTCACTCATCTGGTGTGTAAAATCATTTTTATGTAGTCCGATCCATCAGCCTCTTCCTTTTCGGTCTCTGACTTAGGTGCAGGTTCAGATTTCACTGTGTCAACCATGACTGAACCAGGAAGAACTAGTTCGAAGTCTTGCCTTGATGCATCCTAGGAAAGCTTTCACGCTATGCCAATATTAAAAATATTTTCTTACCTTCTAATCTGATTATTTCTTGGTTTCATTTTATAAGTCAACCTTTAATTCATATGGAATTTCTTTTTCTTTGTGGTATAAGGTAGGAATGTTAACTTTTTCTTTCCAAGTGGAAAGCCAGTTCTCTCAACGTTATTTATTCGATAGCCTGCTCAGCTTGTTTATCTGAAATGCTCTTTTTTCCCATGTACTAAATGCTCTAGTGTCTAGTGGTGCAGTGGTTAAGGCATTTGGCTGCTAACCAAAAGGTTGCTGGTTTGAACCTATCAGTCCCTCTGTGGAAGAAAGATGGGGCAGTCTGCTTCCGTAAAGATTTGTAGCTTTGGAAACCCAATGAGGAATCTCTATGAATTGGAATCAACTTGATGGCAGTGAGGGGAAATGCTCATGTCCTCATGAGTGTATTTCTTTTTTTTCCCCTCCACTCCTTCCCTTTGTTTTTCCTTTCCATCCTCTCCCACCTTCCTAGCTCTATCCCTGGGCAAATGTTGTCCTCTTGATCTCATATGCTTGGTTGTTTTAATGAGGACACACTTTCCTGATACTACTGTTCACCTGATATGTCTGCAAATCGTCTGGCTGCCAGTTGAGTCACGGGGGTTAAGTTCAGTTCCTAGCTTGACGGGTGTCTAAGGGCCATCATATCAGAGGTTCTACCATTCTTCATCAGACCAGTAAGCCTGGTGTTTTTTATGATTTTGAGTTTTGTTCCACATTTCCCACCACTCTATCTGGGACCTTTTGTTGTGATCCCTTTCAGCGTGGTCAGTAGTGGTAGCTGGGCACCATCTAGTTCTTTTGATCTCAGGGTTGTGGAGGCTCAAGTTCATGTGCACCATCAGTCCTTTGGACTAATTGCTTCCTGTGTTTTTGATTTCCCTCACTCTTCTTTGCTCTGGATGGGGAGAGACCAATAGTTGCACCTTCGATGAACACTCACAAGCTTTCAAGACCCCAGTCATTACTCACCAAAGTAGGATGATGTAGAATACTGTCTTTGTGGGCTGTGTTATGCCAGTTGACCACAGTGTCCCCCGGGAGTGTGGACACAGCAACTCATTCCCTCAAGGGTCATGGATGTATTTCTGAATTTATTCCATGCTAATGATCTGATTCTATTGTCATAAGCTGCCTTATGGCAATGGTTGATGGTGACCTTATGGATCAATGGTATGTTTGAGTTCATTGTTGCAGCTGTTTTGTCAATTCATGTCATGAAGATTTTCCTTGGCCCTGTAATTTACCAAGGAGTCCTTAAGTGGGACAGTTAAGTGTTGACACCATTCGAACCCACTCAGAGGTACCTTGGAAAGAAAGGCTGGGCAGTCTGCTTCTGAAAAGTCACAGCCATGAAAACCCTGTGCAGTGCTGAAAAGACCAGAGCTTGAGTCAGGTTCCTCTTAGTCATCAAAGTAATATTTTTGCTCTGTAAAACTTTAAAGAGGTCTTTTGCAGATTTGCCCAATGGAATATGTCATTTGACTACTGTTTCCATGAACGTTGATTGATGACCTAAGTAGAATGAAATGATTGCCAGCTTCAATTTCTTCTAATGACTGGATGATTCCTTCATGAGTCCTTATTACTTACTGTAAGAATTTCTGTAGCTTTATATATGACAAGGCAAATTCCTATTCTTTCTTCTTCAAAAATTAATTTTGCTTTTTTTGCTCTTAAAATTTTTAGTTTCAAAACTTAGATGTTGATTGGAATTTTAATTGGAATTTTGGATGAAATTGCATTGAATCTGGTGAGAATTCATCTTATCTGTTGTTATGTCTTTCAGGTCTTACAGCTTTATTTACATAGTATAGGCTGCAGATCTGATGGTGTAACATTCGCTAGGACTAATTGTTTCCATGAATTTTGGTTTTCTTCATTCTTCTTTGCTCTGGATGAGGAGAGACTCATCGTTGCATCTAGATGGCAGCTTGCTAGCTTTTAAGATCCCAGTCACTACTTGCCAAAGTAGGAGGTGGAACAGTGGTTTGTATAGTATGTTATGTCAGTTGAGCTTGATGTCCCCTGTGACTATGGTCCTAAGCCCACAGGTTCAACTACTCAGTCCCTCTGGGTAGCTGGCTGTGACCAAGCAATGACCACAACCTTGCTCCTTGTCAGCTCTGCTATATACCTGGGAATTCTGATAATTCACATAAACTTATAGGACCATTGTCTGCCAACCCTATATATGTTCTTGGATACACTCCTCATTTCATAGACATACCTAATCGTTCAGCCTGTCCACCCATCTATCCACCCATATACCCATGGTAACCTTCACTGACAATGCAGTACTGTATGTACAAAAGGGTTCATATTTGTTGTCTGT